TTGTGGTTGCAGGGGTCGATTTACAGCTCCTGGCTCCGCCTCTCTGTTGGTCGTTACTAGGTCTACTCTCTTGCCCTGCTCCATGAGCTTTATCGTACCTCTTCCTAAAGTTATGTATGGATCCAGACTCAGGAATCCATCCGTTCTCTCCCAGATGTCTCCCCTTCCCCGCTAACCTAAGGTCAGTGAGTTTGGTTCCTACCTCCACTACATCACTCTCCAGATTGTTCCACTTCCTGACAACTCTATGACTGAAGAAATACTTATCCCTGTGACTCATAAGAGAGAGAGATTTCGTTCGGATTTTTAACCCCGGAGGGTTAGCCACCCAGGATAACCCAAGAAAGTCAGTGCGTCATCGAGGACTGTCTAACTTATTTCCATTGGGGTCCTTAATCTTGTCCCCCAGGATGCGACCCACACCAGTCGACTAACACCCAGGTACCTATTTGCTGCTAGGTGAACAGGACAACAGGTGTAAGGAAACGTGTCGAAATGTTTCCACCCGCCGGGAATCGAACCCGGGCCCTCCGTGTGTGAAGCGGGAGCTTTATCCACCAGGCCACCGGGCCACCATCTAAGTTTTCATCTCAGAAACACTGCCCTATCCACCCTGTCAATTCCTCTCAGTATTTTATATGTCGTTACCATGTTCCTCCTATCCCTACTGTAATCCAGTATTGTCAGGTTGGGTTCCTTTAACCTCTCCTGGTAGGACATACCCCTTAGCTCCGAGACTAGTCATGTTGCAAACTTTAGCACTTTCCAGTTTCTTGACGTGTTTGACCAGATCTACCTGGAGTTCATTACCTTTGTAACGTGTTCAGCTATCAAAACTTTGGGGTCCAGCCCCGGGACCCATTATGTACCTCTGTAATCTTTTGACTACCGCCCACAGGATGGGTATGGGGTGACTACCGCCCACAGGATGGGTATGGGTGACTACCGCCCACAGGATGGGTATGGGTGACTACCACCCACAGGATGGGTATGGGTGACTACCGCCCACAGGATGGGTATGGGGTGACTACCACCCACAGGATGGGTATGGGGTGACTACCACCCACAGGATGGGTATGGGGTGACTACCGCCCACAGGATGGGTATGGGGTGACTACCACCCACAGGATGGGTATGGGGTGACTACCGCCCACAGGATGGGTATGGGGTGACTACCACCCACAGGATGGGTATGGGGTGACTACCGCCCACAGGATGGGTATGGGGTGACTACCACCCACAGGATGGGTATTGGGTGACTACCGCCCACAGGATGGGTATGGGATCCATAATAAACATATTAAATTAACTAAACATATATAACCAAGACCCTACACTGACCATTTAGATTTCTCAATAATCTGACTGATATTTGATATCTTACTGGCACTCTGGGCCTATATCTGGCAAGAATATTTTCACATTAATCTCGACATTGACACAGTTTATACTTTTACTAATTTCAAGTTCACTTACATATAGGTCACTAAGCATGACAAAAACTGGGCAGATGATACGTAGGATTGAATCATGTCTGGATGTTTTCAGAGACATGTATGTATACCTGACATTATAATTACACCGAGAGATTATATAAATCAGTATTTCAAAGATTGGAGTGTTTATATACACCTACAGGTTATTTTAGTCACTATTTCTGTGGTGTCCCGTGGCCTGGTAGGTAACGCTCTGGCCTCTTACACTGAGTGTCAGTGGTTTGATCCCCAGCACGGGTGGTAACATTGGGTATTTCCTTCCACTTAATGTTTCTGCTCACCTAGCAGTAAGTTAGTGGACTGGTGTGGGTGGCATAAATAAGATTTCTTCGGATTTTTAACCTCGGAGGGTTAGCCACCCAGGATAACCCAAGAAATACAGTGCATTATCAAGGACTGTCTGTCTTATTTCCATTGTGGTCCTCAATCTTGTTCCCCAGGATGCCACCCACACCAGTCCACTAACACCCAGGTACCTACTTGCTGCTAGGTAAATAGGACAATAGGTGTAAGGAAACATAAGAACATAAGAAGAACATAAGAAAATAAGAACACTGCAGGAGGCCTGTTGGCCCATACGAGGCAGGTCCTTTACAATTCATCCCACTAACAAAACATTTGACCAACCCAATTTTCAATGCCACCCAAGAAATAAGCTCTGATGTGCAAGTCCCACTCAAATCCAACCCCTCCCACTCATGTACTTATCCAACCTAAATTTGAAACTACCCAAAGTCTTAGCCTCAATAACCCAACTAGGTAGACTGTTCCACTCATCAACTACCCTATTTCCAAACCAATACTTTCCTATGTCCTTTCTAAATCTAAACTTATCTAATTTAAATCCATTACTGCGGGTTCTCTCTTGGAGAGACATCCTCAAGACCTTATTAATATCCCCTTTATTAATACCTATCTTCCACTTATACACTTCGATCAGGTCTCCCCTCATTCTTCGTCTAACAAGTGAATGTAACTTAAGAGTCTTCAATCTTTCTTCATAAGGAAGATTTCTAATGCTATGTATTAATTTAGTCATCCTACGCTGATTAATTTAGTCATCCTACGCTAAATTTAGTCATCTACCCCACCGGGAATCGAACCCGGGTCCTCCGTGTGTGAAGCGAGAACATTGCCAGCCAGACCACAGACAAGATTGAAGGACCATAATGGAAATGAGAGTCCTCCACGATGCACTGACTACCCTGGGTTATCCTGGGTGGCTAACCCTCCCTACCCTGGGTTATCCTGGGTGGCTAACACTCCCTACCCTGGGTTATCCTGAGTGGCTAACACTCCCTACCCTGGGTTATCCTGGGTGGCTAACACTCCCTACCCTGGGTTATCCTGGGTGGATAACACTCCCTACCCTGGGTGGCTAACACTCCCTACCCTGGGTTATCCTGGGTGGCTAACACTCCCTACCCTGGGTTATCCTGGGTGGCTAACACTCCCTACCCTGGGTTATCCTGGGTGGATAACACTCCCTACCCTGGGTTATCCTGGGTGGCTAACACTCCCTACCCTGGGTTATCCTGGGTGGCTAACACTCCCTACCCTGGGTTATCCTGGGTGGATAACACTCCCTACCCTGGGTTATCCTGGGTGGATAACACTCCCTACCCTGGGTTATCCTGGGTGGCTAACACTCCCTACTCTGGGTTATCCTGGGTGGTTAACACTCCCTACCCTGGGTTATCCTGGGTGGCTAACACTCCCTACCCTGGGTTATCCTGGGTGGCTAACACTCCCTACCCTGGGTTATCCTGGGTGGATAACACTCCCTACCCTGGGTTATCCTGGGTGGCTAACACTCCCTACCCTGGGTTATCCTGGGTGGCTAACACTCCCTACCCTGGATTATCCTGGGTGGATAACACTCCCTACCCTGGGTTATCCTGGGTGGCTAACACTCCCTACCCTGGGTTATCCTGGGTGGATAACACTCCCTACCCTGGGTTATCCTGAGTGGCTAACACTCCCTACCCTGGGTTATCCTGGGTGGATAACACTCCCTACCCTGGGTTATCCTGGGTGGCTAACACTCCCTACCCTGGGTTATCCTGGGTGGCTAACACTCCCTACCCTGGGTTATCCTGGGTGGCTAACACTCCCTACCCTGGGTTATCCTGGGTGGATAACACTCCCTACCCTGGGTTATCCTGGATGGCTAACACTCCCTACCCTGGGTTATCCTGGGTGGATAACACTCCCTACCCTGGGTTATCCTGGGTGGCTAACACTCCCTACCCTGGGTTATCCTGGGTGGCTAACACTCCCTACCCTGGGTTATCCTGAGTGGCTAACACTCCCTACCCTGGGTTATCCTGGGTGGCTAACACTCCCTACCCTGGGTTATCCTGGGTGGATAACACTCCCTACCCTGGGTTATCCTGGGTGGCTAACACTCCCTACCCTGGGTTATCCTGGGTGGCTAACACTCCCTACCCTGGGTTATCCTGGGTGGCTAACACTCCCTACCCTGGGTTATCCTGGGTGGCTAACACTCCCTACCCTGGGTTATCCTGGGTGGATAACACTCCCTACCCTGGGTTATCCTGGGTGGATAACACTCCCTACCCTGGGTTATCCTGGGTGGCTAACACTCCCTACCCTGGGTTATCCTGGGTGGATAACACTCCCTACTCTGGGTTATCCTGGGTGGCTAACACTCCCTACTCTGGGTTATCCTGAGTGGCTAACACTCCCTACCCTGGGTTATCCTGGGTGACTAACACTCCCTACCCTGGGTTATCCTGGGTGGCTAACACTCCCTACCCTGGGTTATCCTGAGTGGCTAACACTCCCTACCCTGGGTTATCCTGGGTGGCTAACACTCCCTACCCTGGGTTATCCTGGGTGGCTAACACTCCCTACTCTGGGTTATCCTGAGTGGCTAACACTCCCTACCCTGGGTTATCCTGAGTGGCTAACACTCCCTACCCTGGGTTATCCTGGCTGGCTAACATTCCCTAGCCTGGGTTATCCTGTACCGTCTATACGTATTATTATTAGTGGAAGTAGTGGTGGTAGTGGTAGTAGTAGTGGTGGTAGTGGCAGTAGTAGTAATGGTGGTAGTGGTAGTAGTAGTAGTGGTGGTAGTGGTAGTAGTGGTGGTAGTGGCAGTAGTAGTAGTGGTGGTAGTGGTAGTAGTGGTGGTAGTGGCAGTAGTAGTAATGGTGGTAGTGGTAGCAGTAGTAGTGGTGGTAGTGGTAATGATAGTAGTGGTAGTAGTGGTGGTAGTGGTAATAATAGTAGTGGTAGTAGTAATAGTAGTGGTAGTGGCATTACCTTCAGGAGGAGCACTACAGCCTACAGGTAATTAATATTATATTATAGACTAATTAATATTATATTACAATCAAAATTTAAGTGCTAAACCCACAAGGTTCGTACTTCGACTACTTAAGAACCAGACACTGACCATTTATTAGGATTTCTTAAATGAAGAAAATTAAGTCAGCTAAATGAGCAAGAGTACAATATGGTACAGATCTAAATTCAACTTTGTCAACTTCTACTAGTGAGAATGGCTGGATTTGAGAGGGACCTGACCTCCCAACATCTGCGCTCTACTAGTGACCTACGTCTCACCTCCTGGCGCTATATAAGGCTCCATCCTGTCACTTCAACTCCATATTGTTTCAGACAACGGAACAATACTCTTCTCCAGACTGAGGGACTGACCACCTCAAAACTTTAAGGGTGATGGACTGATTACATCGTCTTCAAGTATCTTCTGCTTCTATCAACTTTTCTGTACTTGACTGAAGAAGCCTACTGTGTAGGCAAAACGTTTCATAATAAAGATACCTAACTGTTGCATATGTGTCTTACCTAACAACCTGTCGGTATTTTATACCATTTTAATGTTAATTCAATGTTCTTCAGTTAAGTAGAATTTCTTATGTAGATGACTGTTATTTTATTCATAATAAGAAGGGTAATACATATAAAAAATAGAATGTTAAAGGAATGACTTGTAGCGTCAGAGGCCCAAGACTATTCAGCTGCCTTCTTGTATACATAAGGGGGATTACCAATAGACCCCTGGCTGTCTTCAAGAAGGCACTGGACAGGCACCTAAAATCAGTACCTGACCAGCCAGGCTGCAGTTCCTATATCAGTTTATGTGTGGCCAACAGTAACAGGCTGGTTGATCAGGTCCTGATCCACCACGAGGCCTGGTCATGGACCAGGGGACACTGACCCCTGGAACACCCTCCAGGTATACTGCAGGATTCAATATCTTCAGTTTTATGGAGTAATTTGAATAGAGACGAGGAGACAGCAAGTTACTTAGATGCAGTAGAAACAAAATGGAACAAGACGAGTGATTAATTTTTTATGGGAGATGGATTGGGCAAGATGATTGCAGTAGTGGCAGCAGTTTTTTTGGGTGGTGGTGGTGGTACGGGGTGATATAATAGTGGGGAAGGGGGTACTAGGGGGGCCAAGGGAGGTAATGAGTATAAATAGGCACGTGAGCTCTGCAACCTCTCTCGTTACTTTTTTTCCCCCGGCAAACTTGATTTCAAGAACAATTTTGCTACAGATACAAGAAAGCTTTCTCATTTAAGTTTCTATGTCCTTCACACCTCATTACACACATATGTGCCTCTTAAGTTAATTATGCTCTAGAATATATGCATTTTCATCTTGATCTCACTGCAAGGTTCCTCAATTCCAGGAACTGGACTTATCCTCCATTTTCTTGGATCGAACCTGATTACCTCCCATTCCCCAGGTGCTGTGGGTGGCCAGTAGTAACAGCCTGGTTGATCAGACCCTGATCCACCATGAGGCCTGGTTTCAGACCGAGCTGCGTGGGCGTTGACCCCTGAAACCCTCTCCAGGTATACTCCAGGTATTCACAAAGAAACGGTGACTGTCGCAGACATACAGCACCAGGGGGACTTTGAAGCAGTTTTAATCCAAGGGAGAGGACGATAGCCCCTATTTCTTTTAACACAAGCCCTTCGATATTATTCACGGGGAGTGTTAAACTCATAGGGGCATGCAGAGCCTAGGTGAATGGGAGGGAATTCAGTAAATCCAAGGAAGGGGAAGTAAAGCTGTATTCCTTACCTCAAGGACCCTTCACCAGCATCAAGGACCCTACCTAGAGAGGTCACTGTAAGGAAACTGAGGCAGTCAGATTAGATCCACAGTTCTGTAGTCTGACAGAATCAAAGTTTTGGATTATCCACTGGAGTTGACCTCTGGACAAATGATTCACTGAAACAATTTTATTTTTAATATTTTCTTAGTAATTCAGAAATATAATTCAATAATGTGCACAAAAATATGCCCACTATTCATTGTCAACTGTAACAAATATTACTATTATAATCAAATTAAGCACTAAACCCATAAGGGTTGTGCTGATAATATTGATACAGATTTCTATGATACAACTCCATCAAATAAAATCATTACATATATGCTAAACTTGTATTAAAATGTCTTCATAAAAAGTACAGTGGACCCCTGCTTTACGATCAGCTCCCAGTGCGACCAATTATGTAAGTGTATTTATCTAAGCACGTTTGTATGTGTATGTTTGGGGGTCTGAAATGGACTAATCTAATTCACAATATTCCTTATGGGAACAAATTCGGTCAGTACTGGCACCTGAACATACTTCTGGAATGAAATAATATCGTAAACCGGGGTCCACTGTATTAGGTTATCAAGACCCTTGTTGCTCAAGGGCTCTTGATTCAAGGAATTGGAAATACCCTCTGCTTCTCTGGTACAGACCTGATTACCTTCCAATCCCCAGGTACTGTATGATTCCTAATTGTTTACTTCCCCATTAAGGAACAAAACTGCACAATACCGTGACTGGAACAATACACATATAACCCGCTCATAGGAGAGAGAAACTAACGACAATGTTTTGGTCAAGTTCTATGTGCCAGTTATTTGTGCATACCTCCCCATTATTATATAATCAAAACTAAGTCCTAACCCACATCCCTACTAATATAAGCTATAATGCTAGTACAGTGGACCCCCGGTTAACGATATTTTTTCACTCCAGAAGTATGTTCAGGTGCCAGTACTGGCCGAATTTGTTCCCATAAGGAATATTGTGAAGTAGATTAGTCCATTTCAGACCCCCAAACATACACGTACAAACGCACTTACATAAATACACTTACATAATTGGTCGCATTCGGAGGTGATCGTTATGCGGGGGTCCACTGTATTTAATTTTTTTAAATTGGAATAGTTTCTTGTATCAAAGTATAATGAAGTTACTATGTACAGAATAAGTCTTTCCTTACAGGTGCACTAATAGAACCCTTCAAGGGAGGTTCCTTGATGCTGGTGAGGGGCCCCTGATCTAGGGAATTGGATCTGTGCTCCGGTTCCCTGAATTAAGCCTGAATACCTTCTATCCCCTCCCCACGTGCTGTATAATCCCTACTGGTTTGGAGCTCCCCATGATTATAATAATTCGCTAATAGATTATTCCCCTAATAATTCATGAAGTTAATTCTTCTTTTATTGCCTTCCCTAACTCATTATTATAACATACGTGAGTAAGCACTAAATATGTTAGGAGTCGTATAGCACCTAGGGACTGGGAGGTAACCAGGTTCAACCTATGAAGGGAAGGGCAGCTCCAATTTCTTGAATCAAGAACCCTTCCTAGAAAGGTTGCCTTCCTCAAAAAGTATTAAAAAAAAATTTTTTTTTTTCCAATTTTTTTTTTTTTTTTTTTTCAAAATTGCTTGGTAGCTCTCCAGTTTATTTCAGAGCTGGTTAGAATATTTTTCATGGCTCTCACTCTGCTTTAGATAATCTTTTCTTCCCTTTAACTTTGTTATTAGCTGATGATTCCTTTTGTTTGTTACTATCCTCATCCTCAGTCTGTCCACTGTGACCTTCGTCTTCTGGAGATAGTTTTCTTTTACGTCCCGTCATTTTCTTCATGGTTGGTGATGTTCCTTCTTTGTTTCTGTCCTCCTCACCTTGTTCAGAACCTCGCTCATTGTGACTTGCATCTTCTGGAGATTTTTTCTTCCGTCCTCTAATCTTCTTAGCTGATGATGATTCCTCTTTTTTGCTTCTCTCATTATTTTGTTCAGTACGTTGTCCATTGTGATCTTCTTGAGTTCCTTCAGCATCACTTTCTTGCTCTTCCTCTTCATTCTCTTTCTCCAAAAGTTCCATTAGAGCAGTTGACACAATCCTAAAATCTCGTGCTGTGCTCAGTTTCATTGTTTCCATCAGGTTTACTTTTGATTTGCGAGAGAGTAGGATCAAGTGTGTCTCATACTGTTCAATTGCGTAAATTAGGGAAGGTATAAGTTTAGACTCTTTTATGGCTCTAGCAGTAAGTACCCCTTGTTTTTTACTCTCTGCCTGCCTCTGTGCTCCTTCAATGTAAGTTATCATTGGATACACAGTACTAGAAATCATTTCCCCAGACATCTGAACAACTTTCTCAAATTTATCCGAGATCTGTACATAATTCTTCAATCTGTACAGGTCGCGGTAATATTGAACATACTGTAACAGAACATTGTACAGTTTTGTTACCACTCTTAATGTCTGATCTGTGTTTCCACCGAGAGGAAGAGCCGACTGGATTATTTCATGAACTGCAGTAATTACACAACTGCATTTTATACAGAGATTCTTCTCAACTTTGTTAGCATCATATTCAATGCCTGACAAAATGCATGCTTTCATTTTATTGAGAGCTAGTTCAGTGAGACCCAGTGTATCATCAAGGTGCATGAGGAGATGTGTTAAAATGGCTGATGAAGTTTCTTCACTGACTATCTTGTATTTACCAGATTCTTCAACTTCAACACCTTGTTCAAAATCCCCAAGTTTATGGTGTAACTCTCTAGCTATTCCACGAGCAAGATTATGATTGGCTTTATCTGGTTAGAGAGTTTAATGAGATGATTCATCATAGATACAGCTAACCCACTATGACCAAAATCTTGGTCTTTACATAGCTGCAGGACCCAGTCTTGGACATCGCTAATTTCCGGGCAATTAGGATCCATTGCTTCAGTAAGCACTGTCATTACGTGAACAACAGTGGTTGCATCTTTCAGTAAAGGACCTCTCTCCTCATGGTGTAGAATTTTCAACAGCAACTTCTGAAGCCGTTTAGTTATTTTATATAAAAGTGAGTCGAGACTTTTACCGTCACTTTTATCCATCATCTCCTTTAATATTGACTCAAGTTTATGTTTGTAAAATTTAATGAAACTGGTCAAAATAGATGAAAGAACCTGCAAACACTGCCTAAGTCTCAATACCTCTCTAACATCTGAGGAATCTAAAGAACTTAAATTCTCAGAGCATTCATGCAGCAGAGTCTTTGCAACAGCTCGCAAGTGGGGCAAGTGTTTCTCCTTTTCTGACTGAGTCAGTCCAGTTATTGATGACACCACTTCTTCTACAACAGATAATAGGTAAAGTTGTAAGTCGTGGTTGTCTTTCAAAATATTACTAGTGTCACTGTCATCATCAGAACTACTGCTCAGCGAGGCAACAAGCATACCTGCTGCTGCCCGCAAACTTAAATGGCTTTTTAAAGAAATTGATGACTTAAGAGGAGTTCGACCTTTGCCTTTTGATCCATCTTTCTTAGCAGGTTTCCCGCCTTTTTCTTTCAGTAGTTCTACAATATTCTTCTGAGACTTGAAAAGGGAAATAACAAGCTGCATTTTTTCCTTCGTGGTATGTGTTGTACTGCTAAACGTGTGCTCTATTAAGCTGTCAAATACACCAATCATCACTTCAGCAGAAAGGGTATTTTTTTGCCCAGTTGGTGAATTACTTGAAAAATCACCTTTGGTGTCAATACCAAGATCTTCTAAACCACAACCAGAAAGCTTCTCTGTCATTACATCAAACAATGAACATACTTCATTCAGAACTGTTATAGCATTTTCTTCATCGTCATCCTCATTTGTGTCACTGGATTTATGCACCTCATAATAAGCCTTACATTTTGCTAAGCTACACAGCAAATCTGCCACGGGTTCTATAAGTGTGACTGTTTCACCATGAACGCCAATAACTTTCTTCAGGATAACGGGATTGAAGATACCTTCTCTTAAGTCCAAGAAGCACTTGCTGTGTTGAATTAAGAGCTCAAGGATGCTGACGACTAGCTTTGGGTTGGTTCTGCTGACATCATCAAGCCCCAGGTACAATGTAGATTTTACCTGCAAATAAAAAAAAATGATTTTACACACATTAAGGTGCAATAAGATCACAGTAAACAGGTTATATCACAATATGCAGAACAACCACTGTGAAAAAATAGTTAGCTTTGAAGTGCTTTTGTGATTTCTCACATTATCAAGGAGCTGAAAAATCACAGGTCCTTGATAATTCAAGAAATCACAAAAGCACTTCGATGTTCAATATTTTTTCACGGTGGTTGTTTTGCACACATTAAGATATGCTGACATTAAAACTGATTACATTATTTTAGCATTATTTTTAACACCTCGGCCATTTCCAACCGTGGTAGGGTGACCCGAAAAAGAAGAAACACTTTCATCATCACTCGCTCCATCACTGTCCTTCCAGAGGCGTGCCAATACTACATTTCAAAATTGCAAACGTATTTTAGCATTATCTGTACAATCTGAAGCAAGCCTTATATACAACTTATACACATACAGCATGAACTAGATCAGAGGTCACCAACCCATCGCCCTAGAGTTACACGTGGGGAACTCGAGATGCATGACATTATCAATCTACATATTGCACAGCAAGGTAAAGTTTGAATCAAGGTTCACATACAATGAGCACCATAGTGAACAAATACTCTAAGTTTATTATATTTAAGTTTATTACTTTTTGGAAAACACCCGCAGTCCCTCGCTGAGGTAGGGTGAACCAGAAATAAGAAGGAAATACAGTTATTGTGCTAAAAAAAAAAGTGAGTATTTTTACACAGTCTGGGGAAAATGTCCAACACTGAATACCTACATTAACAATTTTACTGTTTTTGAAGTGCCACCCTTCATAAATTTTAAACCCCAATGTGGCCCACTTGAACAAAAAAGGTTGGTAACCCCACCTCTAGATGGGTTACTGTTAGCAACAATGTTACTGTGTTAGCTATTGCATATTCTTTCTTATTTTTTCCTAATTATATGGCCCTTGTAGGTTTAGCACTTCTTATTGATAATAATAATAATAAAGTCTCTCCTCACATTCTTTCACTACACATACAGTGGACCCCCGGTTTATGATATTATTTCATTCCAGAAGTATGTTCAGGTGCCAGTACTGACCGAATTTGTTCCCATAAGGAATATTGTGAATTAGATTAGTCCATTTCAGACCCCCAAACATACACATACAAACGCACTTACATATATACACTTACATAACTGGTCGCACTGGGAGCTGATCGTAAACCGGGGGTCCACTGTACTAGTGTTTCATTTATTTCCATTTTTTTTTTCCTAAATATTCATAAAGATAATGTAGAACTCAATGAACACTTCTTAGTACTCAATATGAGCTCACATGGAAAGACTCAGAAGAGGATCCCAGAAGGGAAACGAAATGTACAGATCAATTAATCTTCCGAGTGTCTGTCCCTATGTGGGTTATTATTGAGCATAATGTTGAATATACAATCAAGTGGATATTAGATGATTCTATTACAGGTCCACATCCCTTTATCCGAAATTCTGAAATTCGAAAAGTTCCGAAAACCGCAGTTTTTACGTGGAGTGTGGAGCGTCAGTCATCTCATTGCTGGGTCACCCCACCACGTGGCGGCGTTGAGAATCATTCTGAAATTCGAAAAAGCCTGAAATTTGAAACAATACTGACCCCAAGGGTTTCGGATAAAGGGATGTGGACCTGTACTACTAAAACAACAGTGGATTTACCTCATGTTGCTGTGAAAAACATCTCCTCAAAATACCAAGTAACTCTAAGCAAAGAGACTCATTTGTTGAACTGTTGAAAACTGAGTGAACATCAGCATTGACACTCAGTGTACTCATTGAAGAGCAGAAGGATATGGAAGCTTGTGATGACGGCAGTGTGCCCATCACTCGGAAGTGTCTAAGAAACTGTAAAAATCCTATCACTGCAATCTGACGACTCTCGATTCTCCTAAAGGAAATATACAAGTATAGACTTAAAACTTTTTATTTTAAAAATTATAAAATTATTGTATAGTAAATAATAAGCAAGATAATGGTTCAAGTATGAGAAATTAAATTAACACCAACTAGTTTTGTGATGAAAGCTACAGTATTATACAGCCTCTCCTCGCTTAACGATGGGGTCCCATTCCTAAGATCACGTCAGTAAACAAATTCATTGCTAAGCGAGGAGCATACTATAATGGTAGTGGGTTTGTGTTAACCATCTGTGATATTGTTTTAATGTCACCTTTGCACCATCTGTAAAATTTTTAGTATAATTTTAAATGTTTATACAGTAGTGTACTGTATATTGTAATAAACAGAATAGAGGAAATCAGCTCTAATATACATCAGTTAGGTATGCATACTGGTCAGGGAGCCCGTCGTAATTCCAAGTCATCGGTAAACGAGTACGTTGCTAAGTGAGGAGAGGCTGTACAATATGGCAAGGACAGATGTATGACTACAAAATCCTTCACTTTTATGTTTAAAACTAGAATAAAACAAAGTACAGTGGACCCCCGCATAACGATTACCTCCGAATGCGACCAATTATGTAAGTGTATTTATGTAAGTGCGTTTGTACGTGTATGTTTGGGGGTCTGAAATGGACTAATCTACTTCACAATATTTCTTATGGGAACAAATTCGGTCAGTACTGGCACCTGAACATACTTCTGGAGTGAAAAAATATCGTTAACCGGGGGTCCACTGTATATTTTATATAAGAACATGATTTGCAGAAAACAGTACAGTACATACTTGCATTATAAAATGCAAGTATGTACTGCATATGAGCAATACTGTATGACCCTTGTGGGTTTAGTGCTTACTTATGATTATAATAATAAATAATGCACAGTTTACGAGATTTTAATAAATTTTAAGGAAAAATGTACGACACTTCTTGACTTACTTTGAAAAGAGCATCTTTCTCAGTGTGATCATAAGTGTGTCCTTAAGTGTCATGCTCATCTTGAGGAGAGGCAGGATGACATGAAAGAGATGAGTTGCAGCTCGAAGTGAAAGAAATTCTGAGTACTCCAGCGGATCCCGAATCACATTAAGGTTGTCGAGAAGTGTGAGGGGTAGAGACTTAGCCAGCTTACCCAGGATTTCTGTAAAGATAGGCACAGGTATGTTTTACATACAATTGTATATCAGTGTTATTATATACTGACGACTATGTTAATACTTTTTGTTTTTCTTTTTGGGCTACCCTGCCTTGGTGGGATACAGCTGGTTTGTTGAAAGAAAGAAGAAAGAGTATGTTAATAAACATATACATACACATCCCTCTGGGTTTTCTATTTTCTTACTAGTTCTTGTTCTTGTTTATTTCCTCTTATCTCCATGGAAAGGCGGAACAGAATTCTTCCTCTGTAAGCCATGTGTGTCGTAAGGGGTGATTAAAATGCTGGGACCAAGGGGCTAGTAACCCCTTCTCCTGTATACATTAAAAGAGAAACTTTTTTGGGGGTGAGGGTGGGGCACCCTGCTTTTGTGGGATATAGCCAGTTTGTTGAAAGAGGAGGAGGAGTATGTTAATAATACAATAATGATGTTTATGGCATTTTACTGATATGTTTTATTCAGCAGGATATTTATCAACTATCACCTAAGAGTTAAACCAATCTTAAGATTTAAACAACAAACAGTTTGCACATTTACCTATACAGTGGACCCCCGGTTAATGATATTTTTTCATTCCAGAAGTATGTTCAGGTGCCAGTACTGACCGAATTTGTTCCCATAAGGAACATTGTGAAGTAGATTAGTCCATTTCAGACCCCCAAACATACACGTACAAATGCACTTACATAAATACACTTACATAACTGGTCGCACTGGGAGGTGATCATTAAGCGGGGGTCCACTGTATTTTCAAAAATAACCCATGGCGACAGAAACAGACGAGATCAATTTGAATTTTTTTTTTTTTTAACAAACTGGCCATATCCCACTGAGGCTGGGTGCCCTGAACAAAAAAAAAAGTTTCTCTCTTTAACCCTTTGACTGTCGCAACCCCCAATCCTGAGGTGTCTCCTGGTGTCGCAAAATTTCAAAAAAAAAAAAAAAAATATTTTTTCTTATGAAATGATAGAGAATCTTTTCCCGGTTGTAAAGACACCAAAAAAAAAACGAAATTTGATGGAAAACTGACGGAATTATGCTCTCGCGAAGTTAGTGACCTCGGCGATATTTACAAATCGGCGATTTCGCCCACTTTGAGCCCTATTTTCGGCTAATTCTGTTGTTCCAGTCGACCAAACTCATAGCTATTTCTTTAGAACTCCATTTTTTCTATTGATTGAGTACAAGAAACTGCCCATTTACCGATTTCAACTACCCAATAATGTAGTCAGAAATTTGCAATTTGGCCAATTTCACGAAAATTAAAAAATATGACAATTTCAAAATAAGGTCCAGAATGAACAATGCAGACATTCCTGGCTCTAAAATAACATATTCTTTGTTCATCAGTCACGTCTCCAGGCCCCTCTGATATTACTCTTGCTTTCTATTTTGAATTTTTATTCAAACAAAAAATAGAAGACTTACTATTATGCAGACTACTGCAATACTGTAATAATTGTATAAATAACATCAACCCATTCATGACTGCATATTAGAATGGCTAGTTGGACATTTATTGAACAATGACATCATTTGTTTACTTTTGAACATTGGCAAAAATCAAACATTTTCCCTACTTTGAGATCCATTTCCAGGTTCTTTTTATAGAAAAATCAATTAAAATCACCTCTACTTCTATAATATGTTTTCCATTCTATCAAATGAGGCCAAGAAAACGAGAATACAACCATAGACCACAAAGTCGGCATTTTAATTAAAAAAAAATGGTCTGAGTTTTTTTTTTCTCATTATGCACTGCGTGCTCCAGGATTTTTTTTATATGGTGCACACTGACCACACAGACCCATTCTCTCACATGTGGGCCTACCAGCTTTCTCCTGCTTGATTTGAAGGCGCTAGAATTTATGAGTATATATACGTCAAACACGGTACCTCGTAAGACATATATATACGGCCGCGACAGTCAAAGGGTTAAATTTACTAATGTATACAGGAGAAGGGGTTACTAGCCCCTTGCTCCCGGCATTTTAGTTGCCTCTTACGACACACATGGCTTACAAGGGAAGAATTCTATTCCACTTCCCCATGGAGATTTCTATCTCTATGTGAGTTATTAATCAGCACTGACAAGTATTCATTATACTTTATTCATTTACTTATATGTATACAGTTAAGAGAAAGATATACACACAATAAGTTTAATTCTAATTAATATGACACAATACAAGGCAATAAGAAAATTAGTCGAGTTAAAATCTAATTAAAAAAGCAATTTTTTATATTAAGTGACATTCAATACAATACGTAATTCGTATTCCAGATCCAACGTCCAAAGCTCAGTATGGTACAATGAAGCATCAGAATGAAACTTACGATGACATTCCAGTCCAGTCGTGACTAGTTAATGGTGCAAGTGGGACTGAAACGTCATCGTACGTTCCATTCTCCTATGTGTGGGTTATTTGTGTATTGTATTAATGTTGGTAGAATTACCGACAATCTGTAAAGTAAAAGGACACAAGTGCAACTAACGTGACATTTTATTGTGGCAATGTTTCGCTCTCCAGGAGCCTTTTCAAGCCATTGAAAAAGCTCCTGGAGAGCGAAACATTGCCACAATAAAACGTCACGTTAGTTGCACTTGTGTCCTTTTACTTTACATATGTATGTAATGTTCCAGTCATGCTACTGTGACTTTTTATTTTTTATAACAAAACTGTAAAGTCAATATTCAATCTCTAACTTACCAATGTACTGAATAGGTGAAGATGCTGAGAGGATCAAGTTTGAGAGTTGAGAGATAACCGAGCCTGCAAGGTGTGGCTGTTTCTTAACAATGAGAGGTAACACAATGGAAGCCAGCTCACTGGCTCGCTGACTTACATAACTGTCACCTTTTGATCCACTTCCTGATTCAAGTAAATTGAATGCAAGGTGAACTAATCCTTGACTTACCTGCAAAATTTAAAATGATTAAAACAAATTGTAGCATGCAATGAAACCGCATTAATAAAATCTTAAAAATGCTACTAAAACAATCCATCCTGCAAGTAGTAAGTTTATGTTCCATAGTGTTTCGAATTCTGCACAATCTAAACTGAGACCAAATTTTATTTTTTTTAACATGCCAGCCACCTCTGGAAGCAGGGTGACTTCAAAGAGAAACTTTTACCATCACTCACTCTATCATCATCTTACCAGAAGAGCGCCGACATTACAGCTCAGATGACCCTCCAAGGTGCAATATCCCCACAATTCATTCAGATGGCTGGCACTGTATCTCCCACCTCCAGGACTCAAGTAAAGCTAACCAGTTTCCCTGAATCCCTCTATAAATATTACCTTGCTTACACTCCAACAGCACATCAAATTATAAAAACTACATGCCTCAACTCACTCCTACCTAACTTAATTAAAAAATTAAACAACTGATTTTACATACTAGGTTTACTTTTCTGTACAGTAAGTCAAACATTTACTACTAAACCTGAAAAGCAACTGAATGGTAAAGAAGAAGGATAATATAGCAACTATGGCCCTGCTGCACTACATGACCTAATAATATTCCCTCTCCTTCTTGCTACCCAATACCCCTGCACCCTTCCCTGCCCTGCTGTGCTATATGACCCTTATAGGTTTAGCACTTCTTTTACATTATAATAATATAGCAACTATAGGTCAAAAATAGAATGAAACCATCAAAAATCAAAGGAATGAATGAGCACAAAAAGAGAAGATAAGGAAGTAGAATGTAAAGTTCAAGAAAGTGGCATACCACAAATATGTAATGCAAAGTGAGCTAAATAGGAAACAATGTCCCCTTTCCTGAAAGAATACTGATAAAGGATGGGACATACGATGAGAAAGTTAAAATGAAAAGAGGCAAAGTAGAGAAAGATGAGAGGAAGAGAGAAAGGAAGATAGAAAAGGGTAGAGTAAGGGAAATAGTGAGAAAAAGATGTAGAATTGGGGAAAGTGAGGAAGTGAGGAAGAATAAAAATAAGATGAAAGGAAGGAGATGACACTTCTCATCCAAGTACTACTTTCTTATCTCACCAGTAGGAGATCTATGATATACAGTTTTTTTTTTTTTTTTTTCAACAAGTCGGCCGTCTCCCACCGAGGCAGGGTGACCCAAAAAAGAAAGAAAATCCCCAAAAAAGAAAATACTTTCATCATCATTCAACACTTTCACCACACTCACACATTATCACTGCTTTTGCAGAGGTGCTCAGAATACAACAGTTTAGAAGCATATACGTATAAAGATACACAGCAACCACCCAGGGAGGTACTACCGTCCTGCCAAGTGAGTGTAAAACGAAAGCCTGTAATTGTTTTACATGATGGTAGGATTGCTGGTGTCTTTTGTCTGTCTCATAAATATGCAAGATTACAGGCATGTCTTGCTACTTCTACTTACACTTAGGTCACACTACACATACATGTACACGTTTATTTATACACACTCATCTGAGTTTTCTTTGATTTTATCTTAATAGTTCTTGGTCTTATTACTTTTCCTTTTATATCCATGGGGAAGTGGAATAAGAATCTTTCCTCCGTAAGCCATGTGTGTTGTAAAAGTCAACTAAAATGCCGGGAACAATGGGCTAGTAACCCCTTTTCCTGTAAAGATTACTAAAAAGAAAAAGAAGAAGAAATATACAGGTTTAACTTTTTTTTTTTTCAACGACCCAGCCGTGTCTCACCGAGGCAGGGTAACCCAAGACGAAAAACAAGAGTTTTTCTTTTTAAGTTTAGTAATTTGTACAGGAGAAGGGGTTCCTAGCCCCTTGCTCCCAGCAAGGGGCTAGTAGCACCCATGGCTTACAGAAGAAAAATTCCTGTCCTCTTCCCGATGGAGGAATAAACTAATAATAATTTACCTGGTCCCAGCCCATAATGCAATTATCAATAGTAATCTTAAAGGCAGTAATGATATCAAGGTCTTCTCCCCAAGTTTCACGCAGCCACAGTGACTGTTGGCTTCGTTTTTCCTGCAGAAAACTCTTCAGCAGGCAAGATTTGTGTGATTCTAGGATCTGAAAGTCCAAAAAAAAAACTTTAGTGTACAGAATCACTTATTTGTAAAATATAAGAGAATTCTAATGACAATTTATATTACTCACCAGATAAAAAAAAATTCTTTCTAGCTTTAGGCTTTACATAAATTAAGCACAGTGGCCAAAAACTGCCTCAATTAATGTAATTAGGAACTAGCGGATTCAAATGTAAATGTGACAAAAAACATAGAATTTGGAAGTCAATACAATGATTAATGCTTGATATGCACTGCTTAGAACCAGGACTTCCTTCCTAGCAAGACAGTGATAGTATGAATGATGGTGAAAGCGTTTCTTTTTCGGGTCGCCTTACCTAGATGGGAGATGCCCAGTGTGTTATAAAAAAAGCAATGGACCACTTTGTTTTTACTTGTTAGAAATAACAATTTGCCAGGCCTGGTAAAATTCTTTAAACTGCATTAAAGAAAGTGAACCAACTAACCTGATCCTGGTATTTTTCAATAGATGCTAAGGAAAGAGAGAGCGCCAGGTTGAAAGGTTTAAACACTCTTTCTGGAAGCCATATCGATGATTTATTTAGTTTGAGATAATCCCGAACAAGAGCAGGACTGCACTGGGCATGATGAGTCACGTGAAGGATGACGGTACCTTTGGCTTCCATAAGATCACTGTATTTACTGTCGTCTAAAAGACAAGGAATGTGTCAGAAAATAAATCAAATCGCCTGTACAGAATGCAAATTTAAAATTATCAAAGTACATTATTTCTTAAATACAATTTCAAATAATTCATCATTCCAAATTAAATAAATTAATAAAAATAGTATTAGGGCACATTACACATAACCCTTAATACACAAATAACCCTCAGAAATAATCCTGGTCATGGACCAGGCCGTGAAGGGCACTGACCCCCCAGAACACCCTCTAAGTATAGGAGTTATTTGTGTATTGTTCCAGTCACGGTATTATGCCTTTTTATTCTTTATATGTATTCCTCAATATGACATTACTTTAATATCACTGGTTAACTGGACTTGAGTCCTGGAGGTGGGAAAGGCAATACGTACCTGACTTCTGAAGGAGGAGCAATCAGCACATTGCTGGCAAGACAGTAATTGAATGAATGATGGTGAATATATTTCCTCTTTTTTGGGTCACTCTTTCTCAATGGTAGATGGCCAATGTGTTATAGTTAAAAATAGCTGAGAAAAACTATTAATCAAAATAATTTCTGTTTTGTGGGGTTGCCTAGTTTTTTCTAAATATTTAAGTTGGAAATTCGTTTGTGGAACAATGCCTTCAGCCCCAAGGAGTTAACAGGATTCGATTACATTAGGATTATTCTCTATCCCTATTAAACATTTCTGTGACTGCTGCTGCATTTTTCTAGTCAAAATCATGCTAGCCCACTGAAATTTACAACAATCAACAGGAAACACTGACTACAATATTCTTTCTACTAACAATAACAATTTGTTAAGGGATTCAGGGAAATCGGTCAACCAGACTTGAGTCCTGGAGGTGGGAAGTACAGTCCCTGCACTCTGAAGGAGGGGTGGGGGGGATATCTACAGTTTGAAGGATCATCTAAACTGTTTGATCCATGTACCTCTGGCAAGACACTGATAGCATGAATGATGGTGAAAGTGTTTCTTTTCCAGGGCATCCTGCCTTAGTGGGAGATGACCTGTGTGTTAAAAAATATACTATACAATTACTACAGTTGCCTCAAATATCAAACTCTTCATTTAAGACCTACCTATTGCTTCTGAGTCCACATCCATGCTATTGATTTCAACAGATTTCTTTTCCTTCTCCTGTGATAACTTCTCTTCTTGTTTATTAAAGTAATCTATAATAACTTGCAACACGCGACCGGGAAGCTTGCTACGGACTAACACAACAAGATGATATATGATTGGTGGCACTGAGTGGTAGTCTACTTTCTTCAACACTCTTTCTACTTTGAAAATAACATCTTGTAGCTCTTCCTTTGGCAACTCCATATCTCTGCAAATGTTAAAAGCAAAATTTATCATGTGGGAATCAAAATATTATGACTTACAACTGCTCCCTGGTATATGAAAAGGATTATCAATTAAGAAATATGGGAAGTGCACTGAGAAATGTGATCAATGGTAAGAAGTGACATGACTCCTATCTGTTAGACAGGAGTGAATGGAGACGAATGGTTTTTGGGACTTGACGAGCTGCTGGAGTGTAAGCAGGGTAATATTTAATGAAGGGATTCAGGGGAGCCAGTTAGTCGGACTTGAGTACTGGAAATGAGAAGTGCAATACCTGCACTTTAAAGGAGAGGTTTGGGATATGGGCAGTTTGGAGGGATATGTTATATATGTTTATGCATATATGCTTCTAAACTGTTATATCTGAGTGCCTCTGCAAAGACAGTGATTATGTATGAGTGAGGTGAGAGTGTTGAATGATGATGAAAGTATTTTCTTTTTGGGGATTTTCTTTCTTTTTGGGTCACCCTGCCTCGGTGGGAGACAACCAACTTGTTGAAAAAAAAAAAAACTGATCTTATTTATCTTGCTATTAAAATCTAAGTCCCTTGGTACAAATAAGTCAGTAATGAAAGTAATGGCAATGAATAATGTATGAAGATACAAGATTATGTATCAGGAAGTAGTTAACCCGTAAACGGTCCAAGCAGATCTAAGTTTTTTTTACATATTTTCAAATATAACAAAAAAAAAAGTAGATCAAAGTTTTTTTACACAATTTCAAATGTACAAAAACAAAAAGAAGATCTACTTTTTTTACATACTTTGAAATGTTGAAAAAATGTATATATACGTTTGGACCGTTTACGGGTTAAGAGATACTGCAAGGAATAGTGGAGGTGCCCTCAAAGTTTTAGCGCCTGGGGAAATGCTTAGTACGGTACGAGACAGAAACCAGCGTGGAGCGCTGCTTATTTCTTTTATATTTATCAAACCATTACATAACCTCGAAAGCACAGACAATGATAATAATCTGAACATAAATTAATAAGTTACACAGCATTATTATACAGTACGTATTATACATACACCTACCATCCGACTTACGACCTGCTCGACTTACGACCACTCGACTTACGACCGTGTTTTTTATGCCAAATTTCTGGGAAATAAACAACTATTTGTGTTGTACACAGTGTTTATCCTAAACCTTACAGTATAAAATACAGTACTAACAGCATAAAAAGTAAAGTAAAACGTGAAATACCAAAATAAAACAAAATAAAGTCATTACAAAAATGTTTTGTTGATATTCAGTAGTAAAGTTCGACTTACGACCATTTCGATTTACGACCGGTTTCTCGGAACCGTACTCGGTCGTAAGTTGGATGGTAGGTGTATATGTGGAGCAAGAGTGGAAACTCTTGCTAAAATAATAGCTTCTTCAGTCAAGATACTCATATGGTATACATTTTCATTTTTTTTTTTTACACAAATCAATTTTACAGGATAAGAGCTGTTATCCTACCTGGGGGGTGGTATACTACCACCCCCAGGATGCCACCCACACCAGTCAGCTAATGCCCAGGTGCTCTCTATTTCAGATATGGAAGTTCAATTGCACAGTCAAGCAGGACTGACAGAGCTTTATTTACCAAGGACTGCACAGAACAATAACAAAATAAGGCACAATACCGTGACTAGAACGATACACAAATAACCCGCACATAAAAGTGTGACTTTGTAAATGGTCCAAGTCGGACCGAAATGTCGTCGTAAGCTTCTCTCTTTTATGTGCGGGTTATTTGTGTACTGCACAGAACATAATTCCTCTTGCAGCTGTCACTCTCCAAGACATACAGATGCTGCAAACGATATCTAATTTTTTAATTAAATATTGTGAAAAAGATTTTTACAATCCTGAAAACAAGACACAATAGAACCATCAATAATAAAATTATTTTACATGTGACCTCTTATCTTCAAGAATTCACGGTAACACTCATACTAACCTACTTCTGGATGGGGGATGAGGACCCACCCAACAGAAAAGCAGAAAATAGATTTCTATAACAGATCATCAAGTTGATTTTACTTTTTTTAACACACTGGCTGTCTCCCACTGAGGCAGGGTGACCCAAAAAAGAAACGCTTTCACCATCATTCACATGATCACTGTCTTGCCAGAGATGCACAGATATATTACCCAAAATACAGTGTTTCAAGCTTTTTCAATTCAATTCAATTCAAAGTTTATTCTCTATAAGGATTACAATGCTGAGTTTACAGAAATTTGGTTATTGTTTGGTTTACATGTAGTAAAATTGTGATTACAGAGTGTACCACTAGAACGCTTAGCATGGCTAGGCATTTCGGGCATACTTAGTTTTATTCTTAATTGTAAAATATTACAAATTATGAGGTAAGTTGGTATTATGGCTAAGTGACTAAATACTAGTTTGTGAGTTTAGCAATGTGAATGCTTTTGTTTTGGCACAGTACATAGTTTCAGTATTGGAGTATCACAGGATTCATTATTTTAAGACTGAGATTAATATTTCTGTTTATGGTCAAATGAGTGAGTGAGTGTAAGTGTGAACCACCAGGTGGTATTCGTGTAGTTAGTTGATAGGGTGTATCAGGGAGATAAGATGTTTTCTAATGGTAGTTTTGAAGGTGATGAATGTGTCTGCAGTTCTAGAGTTCTCAGGTAGGGTATTCCAGATTTTAGGGCCTTTGACATACATTGAATTTTTGTAAAGGTTTAGTCGGACACGGGGAATGTCGTAGAGATGTTTGTGTCTGCTTAAATGTACTGTTGCATTCTTGGGGCAACATAAGAGTAAATTGCAACATGGGGGGGGGAGGGGGGAAAGCCACAGGCCATATAAGTATTGGAATACCTCACAATGATTATATGAAGAAAATTAAAAATTATCAGCTATGTGACATTTCTAAATAACAAGAAAAATATTTTGACACTCCTCTGGCAAGATAGTGATGGAGTGAGTGACGATGAAAGTGTTTCTTCTTCTTTTTTTTTTTTTTTTTTTGGGTGACCCTGCCTCGGTGGCAAATGGCTGATGTGTTAAAAAAAAAAAAAACAGAATAACATACCTAATACTAGAAAAAAAGAGGAACATATAAAAGAGACAAAATACGAGTACCATACCTAATATCAGATAATATTTATCTCATAAAAGAAGGGATACCAAAAAATACTTACTTAAATACAGGAAGAAGACTAATGGTAGTTTCAGCAGACCACGTTAGGTCACACAGTCTTTTGAGAATTTGGTAGCGGAAGTCTTCACCAGCCATCTTTTTCCCATCGATAGTAACTTCCTCCTTCTGGCTTATACACATAATCAGACTTGCCAACAGGTCTACCCACCTACAAAAATAAAACTCCACCATAAAGTATAGCAATGAGAAATTAATGCAAATCATGACATCAATAAACATTATGTAAGGATAATGCCAATATCATTCTATTAGCCTCGTCTTTAAGCAAGTTAAACAAGATGTATAGGAAGGGCCGTTCATACAGATCTAAGTATGGCGCAGGTCATCCTTCCCTTACACAACTGTTGTACAAAAATAGCAGCGCAGCAGTAAAAGCACCGAACATAATGAACAATCGCTCAATTGAAAGCCAACAAAAACGTGGAACAAAAATAAGCGCTGTATACACAGGGCCCCTCTACTGTATATTATTATAATCAGTATCTACAGATGATAAATAAGACAAGAGCATGCCCAGAAAATAGTAAGAGAAGAATCAATGTGTGGTACTCAAATTTAGAGGAAAACCCTGACATTGCAGCTATTAAGACAAAACTTTCACATACAGTATAACAAATGCAATTTTCTCAGAAGGCTACGGAATAGTAAGAAAAACAAGAGAAAACAAGGAGGGGCATTGATGGTAAGATGGCACTGGAGATTTGAGGAACCAGGAGACTTGAAAACTGGGTATTTCATGGATTATATAGCCTGTACTGCCATGTCTGGAGAAATGAAAGTAATGGTGGCAGTGATACATGTAATGTACCACCAAACAATAATAGATCAAGGAAGGAATATCATAAGAACAACACGACAATGATTCCCATACTGGAATAAGCAGAGAGAGCAAGGACAGCTGCACTCCTGGTATTAAAAAATTTTAACCATACAGTGGACCCCTGACCAACCAAGGCATTGTCTAACGATAAAATTGCCTAATGAAGAGTTTCAGCGTAAAAATTTTGGCCCGACCAACGATGAAAAACTAGACTAACAACATTTGTGCCGAATGTGTCCACGCATCCGTCTGGCCTGAGCACGCCTCAGCTGCCCTGCCTTCAGTTAGTGTGCCACTGTTTACAAGCCAGTGCGGTCGCTTCCATGCATACATTCGGTACATTTTGTATTATTCCAGTGTTTTTAGTGCTTGTAACTGCTAAATAAGCCACCATGGGCCCAAAGAAAGCTTCTAGTGCCAACCCTGTGGTAAAAAGGGTGAGAATTACAATCGAAATGAAGGAGATAATCACAACGTATGAAAGTGGAGTGCATGTGTCCGAGCTGGCCAGGTTGTATAACAAACCCCCAATCAACCATCGCTACTATCTTGACCAACAGAAAGGCAATCAAGGAAGCTGTTGTTGCGAAAGGTGCAAGTACTCGAAGGTGTTGAGAGACTGTTGCTATTGTGGATAAACGAAAAACAGACTTGAGTTTTATCAAAGTGAAGTTCTTGCCTCCTAATACCACTCCTCTCCTCCAGCCCATGGACCAGCAGGTCATTTCAAATTTCAAAAAACTGTACACCAAAGCAGTGTTTCAAAAGTGCTTTGAAGTGACCTCAGACACTCAACTGACCCTAAGAGACTTTTGGAAAGATCACTTTAGTATCCTCAGTTGCATAAACCTTATAGGTAAGGCTTGGGAGGGAGTGACTAACAGGACCTTGAACTCTGCTTGGAGGAAATTGTGGCCACACTGTGTACAAGAGAGGGATTTTGAAGGGTTTGGGGGTAACCCTGAGAAGCCTATGCCAATTGTGGAATCTATCATCTTTCAACAACAGCACCACCATCCCCCCCGACAACAGCACCATAATCCTCCCCAACAACAGCACCATAATCCTCCTCCAACAACAGCATCACAATCCTCCAGCAACAGCACCATAATCCTCCAACAACAGCGCCATAATCGGGGAAGTCCTTGAGGTTGGAGGTTAGTGGGGAGGACATGGAAGAGTTGGTGGAGGACGACGATGAAGAACTAACCACTAATGAGCTGCAAGAGCATCTGCAACAGCAAGAGGCCACAACTGAGGAAATTGGTTCAGAGGAGGGGAGAGAGAAATGCAGGAAGTTGCCTTCTTCAACGATTAAAGAAATTTGACCTTCATGGAAGAAAATCACCCTGACAGAGCTATTGCAAGCGTGCTGGTGACTTTTACAATGACAATGTTGTGGCCCATTTTAGGAAAATCTTAAAGGAACGCGAGGTACTGAGCTCTATGGACAGATTTTTGGTGCAACAGAGATCCAGTGATTCTCAAGTTGTTCCCAGTGGCATTAAAAAAAGAAGGGAAGTAACCCTGGAAAAGGACTTGGTACCTAAAGTCCTTATGGAAGGGGAGAGCCATGAACCTACACTCTCCTGAAAGACACTGAATGAAGAGAGGTATGACTGAAATGTACAAGCAGAAGACAGGTATAAATAAAGAATATACATGTAGGGGACTAAGGATAACTACACAAAAAACTCAAAATATTGGTTTTAAGTTGGATAAAGTTAAACTTATGTTTACAAAAAAGTATTAAAAGATTCTGTAAAAATGAGGTAAGTCAATTACAAAAAGCCTGGTTGATCAGACCCTGATCCACCGTGAGGCCTGGTCTCAGACCGTAAGCAAAGCCTCCTTTACCCACCCCCTCCAACCTTTCCTATGGTGACCCCTACACTTCCTTCTGCCTCTACAGATTTATACACCTTCCAAGTCATCCTATTTTGCTCTGTCCTCTCTCAATGTCCAAACCACCTCAATAATTCCTCCTCAGCCCTATGGATAAGACTCTTAGTAACCCCTGCACCACTTTCCAATCTCCAAACTACAAATACTCTGCATATTATTCACATGACACATTGTTGTCAAGTTATAATTTTACTGGATATAACAAACCTTCCTTGGAGAGGTTCCCCACTTGCAATGTATTCTACATAATCATTAATTAGAGAGGCGATAGAATTAGCCGGGAAAGAGTCCAACTGAACCATTAGAACCCCTGTTAGCTCTCCTGCAGTCTTCTCGCTTCTTGTTCCACTTCGCACGAGTTTCAGTACATTTTCGTAAACCTGGAAAGTAATAAAAAATACTTTATCATCAAGGCACATTTAAAATTATAAAGTATATACTATATAGGACACAATTACTCTAACTACAAGGCACATGTAGTGAGATTATGAAAGGAAACATTCAGGCAATTGCAATACTCAGTCAAACCTTTATTTAATTAATAGGGGTAAGATGTCCAGTAATGCTGAACAGGATGCCAATAGAAATAAGCAAAGGACCCCAATGGAAATAAGTCACTCTGTCTAACTTTTTTGGGTTATCCTAGGTTTTCTACACATATGCTGCTATGTATGTTAATCTATGTACAGTGGTACCTCGAGTTTCGAACAGCTCCCAACTCGAATAATTATGTAAGTGTATTTTTGTAAGTGTTTTTGTAAGTGTATTTCTGGGGGTCTGAAATGGACTAATCTAATTTACATTATACCTTAAGGGAACAAATTCATTTGGTATCGGCACTCGAACAGCCTTCTGGAACGAATTCAGTTCATAACTCGAGGTACCACTCTATTTGTGTATACCTGAATAACTTACTTACATTAAATTCAAATAACTGAGATTTTTTTGTGATTGTAACAATAACAAACAATTCTAGATTTAACAGACAGTAACAGCCTGATCAACCAGGCTGTTACTGCTGGCTGCATGCTTCAACAGTAAAAAAATTTTAGTAAAAATGTATATTTCATACAATCCTCTACCTTAAGCCTCAGAGCAGTACTTTCTCGAGTTTCACACGACAGAGCCGAGAGAATCCCTCCTACCCACTGGGAGCCTTCTGACCCATGACTTCTGCGCTCAAGAATCTGAAGAAAAACATAGGTAGTTGTATACTGTTAACTTGACAAGTTTAAATAGGTATATATATATATGGTTATAAAACTTGACCTGCAAGAGAAGTGCTGACACTTCCCCAGGAACATGTACTGGGGAAGTGTCAGGAATATGTTCAAGGAAAGTGTCAGGAATATGTCTTGGGGACGTGTCAGGAATATGTTCAAGGAAAGTGTCAGGAATATGTCTTGGGGAAGTGTCAGGAATATGTTCAAGGAAAGTGTCAGGAATATGTCTTGGGGAAGTGTCAGGAATATGTTCAAGGAAAGTGTCAGGAATATGTCTTGGGGAAGTGTCAGGAATATGTTCAAGGAAAGTGTCAGGAATATGTCTTGGGGAAGTGTCAGGAATATGTTCAAGGAAAGTGTCAGGAATATGTTCAAGGAAAGTGTCAGAAATATGTCTTGGGGACATGTCAGGAATATGTTCAAGGAAAGTGTCAGGAATATGTCTTGGGGAAGTGTCAGGAATATGTTTTGGGGAAGTGTCAGGAATATGTTCAAGGAAAGTGTCAGAAATATGTCTTGGGGAGGTGTCGCGAATATGTTCAGGGGAAGTGTCAGGAACATGTCCTGGGGAAGTGTCAGGAATATGTTCAAGGAAAGTGTCAGGAATATGTCTTGGGGAAGTGTCAGGAATATGTCTTGGGGAAGTGTCAGGAATATGTTCAAGGAAAGTGTCAGAAATATGTCTTGGGGAGGTGTTACGAATATGTTCAGGGGAAATGTCAGGAACATGTCCTGGGGAAGTGTCAGGAATATGTTCAAGGACAGTGTCAGGAATATGTCTTGGGGAAGTGTCAGGAACATGTTCAGGAAAGTGTCAGGAACATATCCTCAGGAAATGTCAGTAACATGTCCAGGGAAAGTGTCAGGAACATGTCCAGGGAAAGTGTCAGGAACATGTCCAGGGAAAGTGTCAGGAACATGCCCAGGGAAAGTGTCACATCCATGGAAAGTGTCACATCCAGGGAAAGTGTCACATCCAGGGAAAGTGTCACATCCAGGGAAAGTGTCACATCCAGGGGAAAGTGTCACATCCATGGAAAGTGTCACATCCAGGGAAAGTGTCACATCCAGGGAAAGTGTCACATCCAGGGGAAAGTGTCACATCCAGGGAAAAGTGTCACATCCAGGGGAAAGTGCCACATCCAGGGAAAGTGTCACATCCAGGGGAAAGTGTCACATCCATGGAAAGTGTCACATCCAGGGAAAGTGTCACATCCAGGGAAAAGTGTCACATCCAGGGAAAGTGTCACATCCAGGGGAAAGTGTCACATCCAGGGGAAAGTGTCACATCCAGGGGAAAGTGTCATATCCAGGGGAAAGTGTCACATCCAGGCAAAGTGTCACATCCAGGGGAAAGTGTCACATTCAGGGGAAAGTGTCACATCCAGGGGAAAGTGTCACATCTAGGGGAAACTGTCACATCCAGGGGAAAGTGTCACATCCAGGGGAAACTGCCACATCCAGGGGAAAGTGCTACATCCAGGGGAAAGTGTCACATCAAGGAAAAAGTGTCACATCCAGGGGAAAGTGTCACATCCAGGGGAAAGTGTCACATCCAGGGGAAAGTGTCACATCCAGGCAAAGTGTCACATCCAGGGGAAAGTGTCACATCCAGGGGAAAGTGTCGCATCCAGGGGAAAGTGTCACATCCAGGCAAAGTGTCACATCCAGGGGAAAGTGCCACATCCAGGGAAAGTGTCACATCCAGGGGAAAGTGTCACATCCAGGGGAAAGTGTCACATCCAGGGGATAGTGTCACATCCAGGGGAAAGTGTCACATCCAGGGGAAAGTGTCACATCCAGGGAAAGTGTCACATCCAGGCAAAGTGTCACATCCAGGGGAAAGTGTCACATCCAGGGGAAAGTGTCACATCCAGGGAAAGTGTCACACCCAGGGAAAGTGTCACATCCAGGGGAAAGTGTCACATCCAGGGAAAGTGTCACATCCAGGGAAAGTGTCACATCCAGGGAAAGTGTCACATATAGGGAAAGTGTCACATATAGGGAAAGTGTCACATATAGGGAAAGTGTCACATATAGGGAAAGTGTCATATATAGGGAAAGTGTCACATCCAGGGGAAAGTGTCACATCCAGGGGAAAGTGTCACATATAGGGAAAGTGTCACATCCAGGGAAAGTGTCACATATAGGGAAAGTGTCACATATAGGGAAAGTGTCACATCCAAGGAAAGTGTCACATAGGGAAAGTGTCACATATAGGGAAAGTGTCACATATAGGGAAAGTGTCACATATAGGGAAAGTGTCACATATAGGGAAAGTGTCACATATAGGGAAAGTGTCATATATAGGGAAAGTGTCACAACCAGGGGAAAGTGTCATATAGGGAAAGTGTCACATCCAGGGAAAGTGTCACATCCAGGGAAAGTGTCACATATAGGGAAAGTGTCACACCCAGGGAAACACTGAGAATGGGAGGTAATCAGGTTCGATCCGAGGAAGAAGAGGATGCCCCCAACTCCTGGGATCAAGAGCCCCACAACAAGCATCACCCACCAAGTTGAACTTACATCAATCACCCAGTCATCTTCAGTGTTCAAAATTAAACCTTCAAGTTCTCTCCACTTTTTGCTATCTATAAGTTCCTTGAACCTCTTCCCCAGCTTATCCTTCATGGTTGGCACTCTGGCACTCTGGCACTGGCACAGGAGGAGGCCAAATATGACAGGAAAAAATTCCTCCTCAGAAAATTGACTTCCCGCCTCAAGAATGAACTTGTGATTTGCTGTTGGTAGTGTTAAGGGCCGCCTGAGGCGGCGCCTTAATGAACCCTTACTGACTCACGGGGTTATATATGATTAAATTAAGATTTCGTTCGGATTTTTAGCCCCGGGGGGTTAGCCACACTTGATAATCTAAGAAAGTCAGTGGGTCATCGACGATTGTTTAACTTGTTTCCATTGGGGTTCTTAATCTTGTCCCCCAGGATGTCACCCACACCAAATTCAAATTCAAATTCAAAGTTTATTCTCTATAAGGATTACAATGCTGAGTTTACAGAATTTGGTTATTGTGTGGTTTACATGTAGTTAAATAATGATTACAGAGTGTACCACTAGATCACCTAGCATGGCTAGGTATTACAGAGTGTACTACTAGAACACCTAGCATGGCTAGGCATTTCGGGCAGACTTAGTTTAATTCTTAATTTTAAAATATTACAAATTATGAGGTAAGTTGGTATTATGGCTAAGTGACTAAATACTAGTTTGTGAGTTTAGCAATGTGAATGTTTTGTTTTGGCACAGTACATAGTTTCAGTATTGGAGTATCACGGGATTCATTATTTTAAGATTGAGATTAATATTTCTGTTTATGGTCAAATGAGTGAGTGAGTGTAAGTGTGAACCACCAGGTGGTATTCGTGTAGTTAGTTGACGGGGTGTATCAGGGAGATAAGATGTTTTCTAATGGTAGTTTTGAAGGTGATGAATGTGTCTGCAGTTCTAGAGTTCTCAGGTAGGGTGTTCCAGATTTTAGGGCCTTTGACACACATTGAATTTTTTGTAAAGGTTTAGTCGGACACGGGGAATGTCGTAGAGATGTTTGTGTCTGGTGTTATGCCTGTGGGTTCTGTCACAACTATCAAGAAAGCGTTTTAGGTCAAGGTTAATATTGGAATTTAAGGTCCTGTAGATGTAGATAGCACAGTAGTAAGTGTGGATGTACTGAACAGGGAGTAAGTTTAGATCTATGAAGAGTGGGGGGGGTGTTGCCAGGGATGGGATTTAGTGATTATTCTTACTGCGGCTTTTTGTTGGGTTATTATTGGCTTTAGGTGTGTTGCTGCAGTTGATCCCCAAGCACATATAGCATAGGTGAGGTATGGATAAATAAGTGAATGGTATAGTGTGAGAAGGGCATTTTGCGGCACGTAGTATCGTATCTTGGAGAGGATCCCAACCGTTTTGGATACTTTTTGGTTATGTGTTGGATATGGGTGCTGAAGTTCAGGTTGCTGTCGAGGTATAGGCCTAGGAATTTGCCCTCATTATGTCTGGTAATTAGAGTGTTGTCAATCTTAATGTTAATTTGTGCATCTCCTACTCTGCTACCAAACATAATGTAGTAGGTTTTGTCAGTGTTAAGCGTAAGTTTATTGGCTGTCATCCAAGTCGATATTTTAATCAGCTCCTCATTCACAATGGTGTTGAGGGTGGCAAGATTAGGGTGAGAGATGACATAAGTCATGTCGTCAGCAAAGAGAATGGGTTTCAGGTGTTGGGATACGTATGGAAGGTCATTGATGTATATGAGGAAGAGCAGGGGACCAAGGACACTTCCCTGCGGAACTCCAGTATCAAGTGGCCGTGTTGCTGATGCTGTGTCTTTAATGGTGACATACTGATACCTATTAGTATGGTAGGATTTGAAATAAGCAAGCGCATGGCCTCTTATACCGTAATGGTCAAGTTTGTGGAGTAGGATGTCGTGGTCTACTGTGTCAAAAGCTTTTCTTAGGTCAATAAAAATTCCTAGTGGATATTCCTTATTTTCCAATGCTGTGTAAAGCAGGTGTAGCATTTTTATGATTGCATCATTAGTGCTTTTATTTTTCCTGAATCCAAATTGGCAGGGGTTGAGTATGTTTTGTGCCGTTATAAATGAATAGTCTCCTGTGCACGAGTTTCTCAAAGATTTTGGATAGCAATGGTAAGTTAGATATTGGCCTATAGTTGTTTAAGTCTGTAGGGTCACCACCTTTATGTATTGGTGTAACCCTTGCCATCTTGAGTAGTTTCGGGAAGGTGCTAGTCTCTATTGACTTGTTAAAAAGTAATAAAATAGCATGCGAAAGGACATGGGCCGCTCGCTTGTACAGTAATGGTGGGACATGAGACAGATTCCCTGAGTTGTTTTTAAGTGACTTTATAATCTCGGTGACTTCCGAGGGCTCAGTTGGTGCAAGATAGAAGGAATTTGGGAAATTCCCATCTAGGTAGTCCCCGGCATGGGCATTGGTATGTGGGATTTTATTGGCGAGATTAGATCCTATGGTTGAGAAGAAGAAGTTTATCTTGTTAACTGTGTCAGTGGGATGTAGTGGCGAACCTTACCTAACCTAACCTATGCTGTACATTCTACAAGATTGATGGACTGAACACATCGACTCCAGGCTGAGGGACTGATTACTTCAAACTCCTCCTCTCCTTACACCTTTCTACTTTGTATTGGACTGATGAAGCCACTGTGTGGCGAAACGTTTCTTCAATAAAGATTCCCATATGTTGCATAAGTGTCTCAATACCTGGCAATATAAACACAAATGCAGTATAATGTGATCCTTTATTGACTACGTTTCGCCCACACAGTGGGCTTTTTCAAGTCACAAACAGAACTACCGGGGGTGGAAGGAACGCGAGTATTTATAGTCCGGCTGAGGTCAGGTGAAGAATGCTGCATCTGATGATGTACCGAGTGGGGTTATAGAGTCTAAAAACTTGGGTAGCTTGGAAAGGAGACTGGACAAGTTTTTGAGCAGACCTTCTACAGTGTTCTTATGTGGGATAGCGATGAAGAAGTTTCTTGGCAAGTGGTTCAGCTATGTTATAGAAGCCACTATTCTGGTTGAAGTTGTCGGATATAGAAATAAGTGATGATTCCAGGATTCTTCGGTATTGAGTGTTGTCTTCTGTGGCGATAAGTCTTGAGTTTCTGTAGTTTATCAAGTGGTTGTGTGAATTACGGTGTTGTACGCAGGCATTCCTTGTGTCGTCAGACCTGCTTGCGTATTGGTGTTCTGAAATACGTGTTTGGAGGTCCCTTGATGTTTCGCCCACGTATAACTTGTTGCAGTCATTGCAAGGGATTATGTATACCCCTGCAGAGGATGGAGGCTTGTCCTGCCTACTACTGGTGATGTCCTTGATGGTCGTGGTTGTGGAGGTAGATACTTGGAATGATGTTTTGGTAAAGATGTTGGAAACATGTTTGGCAATGGAGTTGGTGGGAAGGACTATGTATCTCTTCTCGGCAGTGTCTTCTCTGGGTGTGTTGAAGATGTTTAATGCTCGCCGTCTGCAGTCTCATCAGAGACTGCAGACGGCGAGCATTAAACATCTTCAACACACCCAGAGAAGACACTGCCGAGAAGAGATACATAGTCCTTCCCACCAACTCCATTGCCAAACATGTTTCCAACATCTTTACCAAAACATCATTCCAAGTATCTACCTCCACAACCACGACCATCAAGGACATCACCAGTAGTAGGCAGGACAAGCCTCCATCCTCTGCAGGGGTATACATAATCCCTTGCAATGACTGCAACAAGTTATACGTGGGCGAAACATCAAGGGACCTCCAAACACGTATTTCAGAACACCAATACGCAAGCAGGTCTGACGACACAAGGAATGCCTGCGTACAACACCGTAATTCACACAACCACTTGATAAACTACAGAAACTCAAGACTTATCGCCACAGAAGACAACACTCAATACCGAAGAATCCTGGAATCATCACTTATTTCTATATCCGACAACTTCAACCAGAATAGTGGCTTCTATAACATAGCTGAACCACTTGCCAAGAAACTTCTTCATCGCTATCCCACATAAGAACACTGTAGAAGGTCTGCTCAAAAACTTGTCCAGTCTCCTTTCCAAGCTACCCAAGTTTTTAGACTCTATAACCCCACTCGGTACATCATCAGATGCAGCATTCTTCACCTGACCTCAGCCGGACTATAAATACTCGCGTTCCTTCCACCCCAGGTAGTTCTGTTTGTGACTTGAAAAAGCCCACTGTGTGGGCGAAACGTAGTCAATAAAGGATCACATTATACTGCATTTGTGTTTATATTGCCATTGTGTCGGTATTTTATACCATTTATTTCCATCGTCTCAATACCTCCTCCCATGGGAGACTTAAGTCTCGAGACACTCCCCAGATAGGGAGCCAAGGCCGGGTCACCACTACTTGGAAAAGACCCGGGCCGGGAGAATACCGGCGAATAAAAAAAAAAAAAAAAAGTGTCTCAATCTTCATTATTGTCCAAGTTTAGTAAGGAAGAAACTTTATTTAGGTATAAATAGACATAAGTACAATTACATGTATTATATGTAGTGTAAATTGCCCAGGATAACCCAAAAAGGTCAGACAAATTGACCTAATGTCATTGAGGTCCTTAATGAACCCTACCTGGCTCAGGAGTCCAGCAATTATATTGTCCAGCTACATAATTACACTTACACATTATTATACATAATAAGTTACCTGGAGTTTACCTGGAGAGATTTCCGGGGGGTCAGCGCCCCCGGGGCTTGGTCTGAGACCAGGCCTCATGGTGGATCGGAGTCTGATCAACCAGGCTGTTACTGCTGGCCGCACGTAAACGTACGAATCACAGCCCGGTTGGTCAGGTACTGACTTCAGGTGCCTGTCCAGTGCTTTCTGGAGAGGCACCTTAAGTTATGTAAACTACCAACCAGGATATTATTATTATTATAATCAGGGGGAAGCGCTAAACCCGGAGGATTATACAGCGCCTGGGGGGGGGATGTGGAAGGCATTCAGGCTTATGTTTCGCCTACACAGTAGGCTTCTTCAGTCGAGTACAGAGAGGTTGATAGAAGCAGAAGATACTTGAAGACGATGTAATCAGTCCATCACCCTTAAAGTTTTGAGGTGGTCAGTCCCTCAGTCTGGAGAAGAGCATTGTTCCGTTGTCTGAAACAATATGAAGTTGAAGTGACAGAATGGGGCCTTTATATAGTGCCAGGAGGTGAGACGTAGGTTGCTTTGGGAGGGCAGGTCCTTCTCAAACCCAGCCGTTCTCACTAGTAGAGGTTGTCGAAGTGGTCTGTACCAAGATACCCTTGTGTTGCAGTGTCTGACAGAATGAACATTAAAATGGTATGAAATACCGACAGATTGTTAGGTAAGACACATATGCAGCAGTTAGGTATCTTTATTTCGAAACGTTTCGCCTACACAGTAGGCTTCTTCAGTCGAGTACAGAGAGGTTGATAGAAGCAGAATGGACTGATTACATCGTCTTCAAGTATCTTCTGCTTCTATCAACTTTTCTGTACTCGACTGAAGAAGCCTACTGTGTAGGCGAAACGTTTCGAAATAAAGATACCTAACTGTTGCATATGTGTCTTACCTAACAATCTGTCGGTATTTCATACCATTTTAATGTTCATTCAGGCTTAATTCGGGGAACTGGAGCACAGATCCAATTCCCTAAATCAAGAGCCCCTCACCAACATCAAGGAACCTTCCTTGAGGGGACCAACCAGGATAACCCAAAAAGAATCTGACTTATTTTCATTGGGGTCGTTATAACATAATTATGTAGAGAGAAAGTTCCTCCTGGACAGAGATTATTATAATCATGGGGAAGCACTAAACTCGTGGAGAGAGAAACTTTGCTAGGACTGATGTGGTCAATTTAGTAACCTCTATTAGAGGTGGTCAGTCCCTTATGCATGACACAGAGGCATGCCGCTAGATCTTAAAAAATAAGATTTTTTCTGATTTTTAACCCCAGGGGAAAGTTATCCACCCAGGGCAGGGAGTGTTATCCACCCAGGGTAGAGATGATTATCCACCCAGGATAACCCAGGGTAGGGATGATCAGCCACCCAGGATAACCCAGGGTAGGGATGATCAGCCACCCAGGATAACCCAGGGTAGAGATGATTATCCACCCAGGATAACCCAGGGTAGGGATGATCAGCCACCCAGAATAATCCAGGGCAGAGATGATCAGCCACTCAGGATAACCCAAGGTAGGGATTGATTTTGTTCGGATTTTTCGGATTTTTAACCCCGGAGGGTTAGCCACCCAGGATAACCCAAGAAAGTCAGTGCGTCATCGAGGACTGTCTAACTTATTTCCATTGTGGTCCTTAATCTTGTCCCCCAGGATGCGACCCACACCAGTCGACTAACACCCAGGTACCTATTTTAGCAAGGTGTACTTGTATTCTTTTGGGGAAGAATTTTTGATCCAAGGACTGTGAAGTAGTTCCCTTCCTCAGGTCAACGTACAGACACGAACATGAACACATTGAACATACACATGCACACATAGACATGCAGGTTCACATTGAACACATGCAGGTTCACACTGAACACATGCATGTTCACATTGAACACATGCATGTTCACATTGAACACATGCATGTTCACACTGAACACATGCATGTTTACACTGAACACATGCATGTTCACACTGAACACATGCATGTTCACATTGAACACATGCATGTTCACACTGAACACATGCATGTTCACATTGAACACATGCATGTTCACACTGAACACATGCATGTTCACACTGAACACATGCATGTTCACAACTGAACACATGCATGTTCACACTGAACACATGCATGTTCACATTGAACACATGCATGTTCACACTGAAACACATGCATGTTCACACTGAACACATGCATGTTCACATTGAACACATGCATGTTCACACTGAACACATGCATGTTCACATTGAACACATGCATGTTCACACTGAACACATGCATGTTCACACTGAACACATGCATGTTCACATTGAACACATGCATGTTCACACTGAACACATGCATGTTCACATTGAACACATGCATGTTCACACTGAACACATGCATGTTCACACTGAACACATGCATGTTCACATTGAACACATGCATGTTCACACTGAACACATGCATGTTCACATTGAACACTTGCATGTTCACACTGAACATATGCATGTTCACACTGAACACATGCATGTTCACACTGAACATATGCATGTTCACACTGAACACATGCATGTTCACACTGAACACATGCATGTTCACACTAAACACATGCATGTTCACATTGAACACTTGCATGTTCACATTGAACACTTGCATGTTCACACTGAACATATGCATGTTCACACTGAACACATGCATGTTCACACTGAACATATGCATGTTCACACTGAACACATGCAGGTTCACACTGAACACATGCATGTTCACACTAAACACATGCAGGTTCACACTGAACACATGCATGTTCACACGTGCTTGGACGTCCTTGTTAATATTAGTTAGGAAAACAAATAAAACAGTGTCAGGTTTCTTATTCTTTAATGAAGTTATATTTACAGAAGTATATTTGTATTTTATCACAAAATGCAAGAATTATCCCCCATTTTCATTAGAAACAATATATTCTACAAAGATATAAATTAAAATTTTTAAAACTGATGCGACATTTCAAGTTTGGAAACCAAATTGTGCATCATGGCTTATATTTTATACCTTGATGCTGGTATGGGCTCTTGATTCAAGAAACTGGAGCTACCCTCCCCTTGGATTGAATCTGATTACCTCCCATCACCCATTGGTTTGGAAATGTTCCATAAGCTATGAAAATAATGATATTATAAATATACGTATTGTAAAAGAAAAACTAAGTCATCTTGCCTTGGTGGAATATGGCCAGTTCGTTGAAAAAAAATATATATATTGTACTTCCTGATATAAGCAAGAATCAGCAGGGGTCAACGCCGTGGGGACAGTGACCCCCGAAACCCTCTCCAGTGTTCTATATGCAATAATTCTCAACATCGTTATATTCTGGGATGATGCATCAATCCTTAACATGCAGAGAAATTCTAAATATACAAAATGTTCCGTCCGTGGGTTGCCGGCAGCTTTAATTCTAGTAATGTACAGTTGCAGCTTTCAACTTATTTTAGTATAATTTTTTTTTGTACAAGCTCAGTATCCCTGTGATCCTTCCATAAACTAGAAGGTTAAATAGCGAGTTCCCGTAAACAGTTCTACATAGTTTGGTCGCTTCAGGTTGGGTTGATTGCAGGGGCAAGTTAGCAGCTCTCCTCCTGTTGCTGTTATGGCTTCCTTCTTGTGGTACTCCACAAGATCACCTGTTGTAACAAAATTTACTGAAGGTTATGTGAAGAGTTGAGTAAGTGTGTTTGCAAGACTGTCTGTCATAGGCCTCTCATATTCTATTTCCTTTTCTCCGTGAGGAATCACTTGTATATTGTATAATTACTGTATAATAATCATTTCTATGGTATGTGAACAAACACTAGTATATATATATTTATTAGAAATAATTTTGCTCACATACCATAGAAATGATTCTTATATATGTATACAGTAATTGTACAGTATACAAGTGATTCCTCATAGACACAAGGTAACAGAATATGAGAGGCCTATGACTGAGGCCCTCTTGTAATCACACTTATTGAACACTAGAACACAGAAAATGTTTTGGTCCTAGTGACTCAAGAAATCGTAATGACACGATTGCAAACGCGACGGGCTGGAGTTTTGAGACTCTATGACCGCGGCTTCAATCCCGGCCGGGGGTATGGTTTTTTTGGTCCTAGTGTTTCCTTATGTGTCTTAAACCAATCAGTATCAAGTGCCATGGTTTATTCCAATCATTTCTATTTAATGTAGTAAGGACTAAAAATTTTTCAAATTTAAAGTGTATTTTAACAGCATACATTACTTACACAGGAATGGATGACACTTGAGTGCATATAGAAAACTCATGGTTATGCAGAGTATTTCAGGCCTTGGTGATACAAAAATGAAGTTTACTACCTGGGATGTAAAACAGCTCCATTAATCCCTTCAAGGGACTAATGGAGCTGTTCAAAATGTAGCCCTTCACCAGCCTTGTTGAAGGGCTCTTGAGCCACAGAGATAGATTTATCCTTTCCTACCTTGAATCAAACCCATTTATTGAGTAATGAAAGACTCCTATGGGTTTAGTGCTTCCCTTTATGAACTAATTTTTATTCTTATTCTCTCGTATGCTTTTTACACGCTGGCTGTCTCCCACCGAGGCAGGGTGACCCGAAAAAAAAAACTTTCACCATCATTCACACTATCACTCTTTCCAGATGCTGCCCAAAATACTTCACTTAACAAGGACTTTCTGTAAAGTAATAATATATCAGTCACCCTAACTATAATATTCTGTATTCCACTTAATAGCAATAAAGTTTGTTTTGGTACTTACTAAGGGTTTCATGAGATGCTTGGTGAGAACCGAAGAATGTGTACTTTCCCCCGGTTACATCAATAAGGTAGTGCCTGCAGCGGTCAGCAGCCTTGTACGATATGGCATATCCCCAGATGCGTTCACTCACTCTCACAAGGAAACATCCAACAGCTGCCACACATAATATTTCTTCTGCCTCAGTCCTGCTGATGATACCTGAGAGGGAAGGTGAAGAACTGTAACATTCTACCTTTAAACATTGACAAGCTAATCTGTAAACTGTTTGGTAATAGAGATTAGCACTGCATCAAACAAAGATTTAGCACTATAACAACAATACAGTGGACCCCCGGTTAACGATATTTTTTCACTCCAGAAGTATGTTCAGGTGCCAGTACTGACCGAATTTGTTCCCATAAGGAATATTGTGAAGTAGATTAGTCCATTTCAGACCCCCAAACATACACGTACAAACGCACTTACATAAATACGCTTACATAATTGGTCGCATTCGGAGGTGATCGTTATGCGGGGGTCCACTGTAATAATAATAATAATAATAATAATAATAATAATGGCAAGACAACAGGTAACCCTACTGCAGATGCTTGAAACCACGGATAGTAGTCAACCCTACACATTATAGGGCCCCTGTAGTATCTGCAGAGATGTGTTCCAAGGACCTACTGCAGATACCGAAACCTCGGACAGCAGTGAACCCTATACATAAGTCCTATACATACCTATTATAAAATTTAATTGATAAATAAGTGGAGAATTAGCACTTTTTCACTGATGGGAAGCACTTCACGGCTTCTCTGAGTCCTTAAAGAACTAACAGCATCACTACTGTAGGACTTTGGGGCCATTATTAAACAATATAAAGTTATTTCCTGACCATTGTAAACCATTGTATCATATAACTTTCCCATCTTCACACCTAATTTCCTCTACTGTTTATGTTATTCATAATAGTAACTTTCATAATTAGTTCAAGAAATTCACAATAACTTAGCATTCATGTTGACCTTGCTACAGTGTTGCAACATATAATGTAGTACATATATGTGTAATACCTAGGTAGTAGGTTGGTAGACAGCAACCGCCCAGGGAGGTACTACCGTCCTGCCAAGTGAGTGTAAAACGAAAGCCTGTAATTGTTTTACATGATGGTAGGATTGCTGGTGTCCATTTTTCTGTCTCAAACATGCAAGGTTTCAGGTATGTCTTGCTACTTCTACTTACACTTAGGTCACACTACACATACATGTACAAGCATATATATACACACCCCTCTGGGTTTTCTTCTATTTTCTTACTAGTTCTTGTTCTTGTTTATTTTCTCTTACCTCCATGGGGAAGTGGAACAGAATTCTTCCTCCGTAAGCCATGCGTGTTGTAGGAGGCGGCTAAAATGCCAGGAGCAAGGGGCTAGTAACCTCTTCTCCTGCGGCCGGTTTGTTGCAAAAAAAAAAAAATATGTGTAACAATTTCAACTTCTTCAAAGGTGCTAGTTGAATTACTCCTTTCAAGAGCACCTTGATGCCAGTCAAGGGTTGTAGATCTAAAGAATTGGAGCTACCCTCAAGTTCCTTGGATCAGAGTTAATTCCTATTGCCCAGGTGCTGTATGAACCTCTATGGGTTTAGCACTTCATAAATACAGAAGTTTACCCTTCCTTCATGCAGTTTTCTTTTATGAAAATTCACTATGTGAAGTCTGAATTCACAAATATCGTATTTCTATCAGTAATCCCATACGTGCGATATATGCTCACTGTATACAAGCAGTGTTAAAATAACATACTTAAGACTTATATTATGCAGAATTATACAATGACTAATAAGCTTAACACAGCAAAGGCAGGGAATGCATGTACAGGAGTCTTGCTTATACAGTGGACCCCCGCTTTACGATCAGCTCCCAATGCGACCAATTATGTAAGTGTACAGTATTTATGTAAGTGCGTTTGTACGTGTATGTTTGGGGGTCTGAAATGGACTAATCTACTTCACAATATTCCTTATGGGAACAAATTCGTTCAGTGCTGGCACCTGAACATACTTCTGGAATGAAATAATATCGTAAGCCGGGGGTCCACTGTACAACGAGTTAGGTTACGGGCTACTGCTGTAAAGTGAATCATAGCCTTTTTTCACTTTCATATGCATATAAATGTCTGATAGCAGTTTACACTATCATATACTATTGAATGAGCAATGAAGCTAGGCCTAAAAAATGCATGTACAGTACACACACACACACATTACTTATCTTAAAATACTTTCATCTTAAGCTTATAATGAATGGTGAATATGTTTATTGTAGGAAGTATGAATGTATGAAGAATGGGTATAACTGTAAAACCACTGTTAATTAGCAAAATGCTGTAAAATGAAGCACTGCAAAGTAGGGCCTGCTTGTACATTATAAAGCCAGCAGTCACCTGTAATAACACTACTAATTGAAAGACTTACCATGAAACCACGGGGCAATCTTGGTACGTGAAGGCTCCAGGCCGGCGCCACGAGGTAGTTCCTCGTCACGGAACCATGCCACAATTGATGCCCGCGAGGGAGGTTTAGGTGGTCGTAGTCTTTGGCGGATGCAACCAGGAACATAACCATTCTTAATTATGCCACTGTTGATACTGCAGGTGCTGTTGTTGTTGCCATGGATGCTGCTACTGCCACTGTTGCTGCTACTGCTGTTGTTACTCGGGGTGTTTTTGTTGTTGTTACTGATACTGGTTGGAAAAAGAATAATACAGTAGTTAACAACATGAAGGTTTACTGATAAAAGTGGAGCTGACATGTTGTGTACAGTGAGGGAGACTGTGCAAACAATGAGGGAAGATTGTGCAACTAGTGATGGAGATTGTGCAACTGGTGAAGATCATGCAACCAGTGAGGGAGACTGCAATGCAGTGAATGTGGAGTTGGTGAGAGAGATTACATCACCAGTGAAGACTGTCATCAATATGGGAAACTGTCATCGATATGGGAGACTGTCATCGATATAGGAGACTGTCATCGATATAGGAGACTGTCATCGATATAGGAGACTGTCATCGACATGAGAGACTGTCGTCAGTGAGGGAAACTGACATCAATGAAGGGAAACTGAATCACCATTTAAAAACATGCAGGAAGAAAGCAGCAAATGGTGAAAAGGGATAATGTAGAACCAACCGAAGAACACAGTAATAAATTTTTAGGAAGAGGATAAAGCAGAACAAGGAGAAAAATCACAAAAAATGAACTGCAAGACGAGAATTACTTTTTCAGTAGAAATCCCACAGCGGAGATTTGCCTTAATTTTGTCATAAGTGTAACTGCGTTCCTTAAATTACTATTATATTCATGGGAAAGTGCTAAACCTGTAAGGGTCATACGGTGTCTTGGGAAAAATGAGATTTGTCTGGATTTTTAACCCAGGGGAGGATTAGCCACCCAGGATAACCCAATGAAGTCAGTGTGTCACCAGGGACTGTGTCTTATTTCCATTATGGTTCTTTAATTTTGTCTCCCAGGATGCCACCCACACCAGTCCACTAACACTCAGGTACCTACTTACTGCTAGATGAATTGTGACAGCAAATGTAAAGTGATTAACACCCAGATACCTACTTACTGCTAAGTGAACACCTGGAGTATACCTGGAGAGAGTTCCAGGGGTCAACGCCCCTGCGACCCGGTCTGTGACCAAGCCTCATGGTGGATCAGGGCCTGATCAACTAGGCTGTTACTGCTAGCCGCACACAATCCAATGTATGAACCATAGCCCGGCTGGTCAGGTACTGACTTTAGGTGCCTGTCCAGTGCCCACTTGAAGACAGCCAGGAGTCTATTGGTAATTCCCCTTATGTATACTGGGATGCACTTCAACAGTCTTGGGCCCCTGACACTTACTGTGTTGTCTCTTATCATTTACCAATGACTCTGACTTATGACGGGCTCTCTGACCAGTGTGCATACTTAAATAATGTATATTAGAGCTGATTTCTTCTATTCTGTTTATTACAATATAGAGTACAATACTGTATAAACATTTAAAAATATACCAGAAATGTTATAAATGGTGCAAAGGTGATATTAAAACAGTATCAAACATGGTCGACACAAATCCACTACCATTATAGAACCATAATTTTTAAAGGGGTGGACCGGTAAGCCAGCGGAAGGCCTCGGTCAGATGACCAAAAGCTCCAAAGGCGGGTCATCATCTGACTAAGACCCGCGTCAGGAAACATTTGTCCTGTTTCCTGACGAACCTTACCTAACCTAACCATTATAGGATGCTCCTCACTCAGCGACAAATTCGTTTACTGATGTGATCTTAAGAATGGAACTCCATCGTTAAGTGAGGAGAGGCTGTACATCGATGCAGATTTATTAAAGATCTGATTTTTTGCCACATTGGCCACTTCTTAGAAAAGTAAGATGATCCAAAGACGTAAACACACACTAGTATTCATTCAACAGCCATTCTGTCAGAAATGAGCGGCTATCACAATTCAAAGGAGTATTATTATTAATTTTTTTTATTAACCCGTAAACGGTCCAAGGAGATCTACATTCACATGTGTAGTGCTACAAAAGTAGATCTAAGTTTTTTTACATACAGTGGACCCCCGGTTAACTATATTTTTTCACTCCGTAAGTATGTTCAGGTGCCAGTACTGACCGAATTTGTTCCCATAAGGAATATTGTGAAGTAGATTAGTCCATTTCAGACCCCCAAACATACACGTACAAACGCACTTACATAAATACACTTACATAATTGGTCGCTTTTGGAGGTGATCGTTAAGCGGGGGTCCACTGTACAGTGCCTGCACTCTGAAGGAGGGGTGTTAATGTTGCAGTTTAAAAACTGTAGTGTAAAGCACCCTTCTGGCAAGACAGTGATGGAGTGAATGATGGTGAAAGTTTTTCTTTTTCGGGCCACCCTGCCTTGGTGGGAATCGGCCAGTGTGATAACCCGTAAACGGTCCAACGTATATATACGTTTTTTCAACATTTGAAAGTATGTAAAAAAAGTAGATCTTCTTTTTGTTTTTCTACATTTGAAAATGTGTAAAAAAAACTTTGATCTACTTTTTTTTTTGTTATATTTGAAAATACAGTGGACCCCCGCATAACGATCACCTCCCAATGCGACCAATTATGTAAGTGTATTTATGTAAGTGCGTTTGTACGTGTATGTTTGGGGGTCTGAAATGGACTAATCTACTTCACAATATTCCTTATGGGAAAAAATTCGGTCAGTACTGGCACCTGAACTTACTACTGGAATGAAAAAAGTTCATTAACCGGGGGTCCACTGTACTTCCCATCTCTATGCCACATTGTTGGAAAATGCAAAATGGAGCTGTGGCCCAAAAAGCTAATTCTTAGTTTTGCTTAATAATGGCCCCAGAGCAAAAACCAGTGATGGTGGAGGCTCTTCAAAGCCTAAGAGAAGCTGGAAGTGGTTCCCATCAGTGCTAATTCTCTACTTGTGCATGATTTATCAATTAAACTTTATCACAGGTAACTTTGTAAACTAAAAATTACTTATATACATGTACAGTAGACCCCCGGTTAACGAACTTTTTTCATTCCAGAAGTATGTTCAGGTGCCAGTACTGACCGAATTTTTTCCCATAAGGAATATTGTGAAGTAGATTAGTCCATTTCAGACCCCCAAACATACACGTACAAACGCACTTACATAAATACACTTACATAATTTGGTCACATTTGGAGGTGATCGTTAAGCGGGGGTGTCCACTGTCTAGGTTTTGCTATACATCTATCATCAGGTACCCCGTAGGTACTTTTGAACACATCCCCGTGGATACGGGGACTACTGTATACAACTAATGTATTAGGGCAATACAAAATTTTCACATTGTAGAATAAATCACAAACATTAGCAATTTTGACAAACATACCACACAACCATCATCTAAAAAAAACTGTAATAACCTGCTGTGTCCTAGTGATGAAAGTTGTAGTCCATGTTAGTATCACTGAACATTCATGCACAGTACACTGAACATTCATGTGTAGACACTGAACAATATTAATGCAATACATGAACATTCATGTGTATAACACTGAACATTCATGCACATTGTAAACTGAACACACATGATTAAAAACTGAAACCTCATGTGCAGTAACACTGTAACATTCATGTGTAGTACACTGAACATTCATGATGCAGTACACTGAACATTCATGTGCAGTACACTGAACATTCATGCACAGTACACTGAACATTCATGTGCAGTACACTGAACATTCATGTGCAGTACACTGAACATTCATGTGCAGTACACTGAACATTCATGCACAGTACACTGAACATTCATGTGTAGTACACTGAACATTCATGTGCAGTACACTGAACATTCATGTGCAGTACACTGAACATTCATGTACGTACACTGAACATTCATGTGCAGTACACTGAACATTCATGTGAGTACACTGAACATTCATGCACAGTACACTGAACATTCATGTAGTACACTGAACATTCATGTGAGTACACTAAACATTCATGTGTAGTACACTGAACATTCATGTGTAGTACACTGAACATTCATGTGTAGTACACTGAACATTCATGTGCAGTACACTAAACATTCATGTGTAGTACACTGAACATTCATGCACAGTACACTGAACATTCATGTGTAGTACACTGAACATTCATGTGCAGTACACTAAACATTCATGTGTAGTACACTGAACATTCATGTGCAGTACACTGAACATTCATGTGCAGTACACTGAACATTCATGTGCAGTACACTGAACATTCATGTGTAGTACACTGAACATTTATGTGCAGTACACTGAACATTTATGTGTAGTACACTGAACATTTATGTGTAGTACACTGAACATTCATGTGTAGTACACTGAACATTCATGTGCAGTACACTGAACATTTATGTGTAGTACACTGAACATTCATGTGCAGTACACTGAACATTCATGTGTAGTACACTGAACATTCATGTGCAGTACACTGAACATTCATGTGCAATACACTGAACATTCATGTGCAGTACACTGAACATTTATGTGTAGTACACTGAACATTCATGTGCAGTACACTGAACATTTATGTGTAGTACACTGAACATTCATGTGTAGTACACTGAACATTCATGTGTAGTACACTGAACATTCATGTGCAGTACACTGAACATTCATGTGCATACACTGAACATTTATGTGTAGTACACTGAACATTTATGTGAGTACACTGAACATTCATGTGAGTACACTGAACATTTATGTGCAGTACACTGAACATTATGTGTAGTACACTGAACATTTATGTGTAGTACACTGAACATTCATGTGTAGTACACTGAACATTCATGTGCAGTACACTGAACATTTATGTGTAGTACACTGAACATTTATGTGTAGTACACTGAACATTTTATGTGTAGTACACTGAACATTCATGTGCAGTACACTGAACATTCATGTGCAGTACACTGAACATTCATGTGCAGTACACTGAACATTCATGTGCAGTACACTGAACATTCATGTGCAGTACACTGAACATTCATGTGCAGTACACTGAACATTCATGTGTAGTACACTGAACATTCATGTGCAGTACACTGAACATTCATGTGTAGTACACTGAACATTCATGTGCAGTACACTGAACATTCATGCGCAGTACTGAACATTCATGTGCAGTACACTGAACATTCATGTGTAGTAC